GGGAGAATTGGCAGAGTGGTTGTGTGATGACCACCTGTGCTGCTTAGGTTAGGGCAAATGGCGTGCTGTATCAACATCATTTGCAAATATAACAGTGGAGTTTTGCATCGGAAGCAACCCAGCTCTTCTCAGCATGCATTTCTACCGCATTCTGTGCATATGATTCTCTCATATGTACTCAAAACATTTACTTTCTCAATAAAATTCTCGCCTTCATGCAGCACTTCACCTGGTAACTTCTTCGTTCATCGTCGTCACTTGCTCCATCTGCTCTTCCCCAATCTCGTGGCGCACAAAACGCCGTCCTATCTCTGCTGCAGTGGTTTCGCGCGTCGTCCAGATCTCAGCCCCTGGCTCCACCACTCACATCACGAGACCCGAGTCGCCCTGCCCCGATGACGAACCGCGACGATGCTTGGACAGACCTACTTCCACCTAGCCTTCGCAACCATCGTAATTGGTGTATTTTCTCGCCGTTCTCCTCGCAAATCATCGTAGCCACGCCATTCCACCGCACAACGATACCACGCCTCTTCGCCACCCGTCGTAAGCCACCTCTTTTGCTGCCCCTTCTTCTACCTCGTCATGGCGCAAACGCATCTCTGGCCTTCGATCCACCATCGCATGCCTCCAGGTGAGTCTCTCGCCTGCTACAGAAAGAGTCGCCTGCATCATTCTCACCTACATCGCCAGCCCCCCTGTGCCGCCATAGCGATCGCCATAGCCATCCCACAGCAAGCTAGCACATATCCCAACACAGTGTCGCTGAGTCAAAGTCCGAGATCTGTGCGACGAAGTGCTACAATAATAGATCGCAGAGTGTGTCTGGAAAATCGTAGGTCTCAAGCATCTGCCCGAGACGAATTTTCAGCCACAAGCCGCGAACCTCAACCACCAGAACACGGACTACAGATCAACTTGACAGTTCCTTTCTGCCCGAAACCCACGTTGTTCAGTCTTTGTCCTTTAGGTGCAACTGTTACATTCACTCTGGAGGGCCACAGTGTATCTACGACTCAACCACCATTTCACTTGCGCCTCTCCCTCATGGCTACCACAACCGAGCAGCATAGCACGTCTTAGCTTCGCTTGAGAACTCGCCCGAGCTATGTACGGTAGTAGTAGCGAGGGGGTTGGGCGACACAAGACCCTGCAAGGACAGAGATAGCGGGAAAGACTTGGAAGCCATTTTAGTGAAGACATGCCAACCGTCGCGTGGTGGTCGGAGTCGCACACCGTCGCGTGGTGCCGTCGCACATGTTAGAAAAAAAAAACTCAGCGTTTCTAAAGTCCGACTGCCGCTTAGCGTAAGCGCCACTTAGAGACCGGAGCTCGGAGCGCCCTGTCAGCGAGGTTGTTCGCTCCCGTGTCGTAGCATGAGCGGCAATTCCAGTACACCGATAGCGTTTATACCGATATCGTCATACATGATGTCGCGGAACCATCAACGATTTTCGCCACGCCGTCACCGAGTAACACCGTGTCGCCACAGATGGCGACTCCCCGCCTCGCCTAGCTTGCTCCTACTAGGTCTCATCCTCAGCCTTCCACTCGCATCGATCACCGCAAGTGCCGCCGCAACTTCCGCCGCAAGTGCCGCACCGCCGGGTGAGATAAAAGCAACTCTTCACAAAGTCACGGGATCGTCGGATCCTGCGCAGCCGACGTCGTCGGTGCCGTCAAAACCGGGGCAACGCGGGCAGATTTCAATGCTCACAGCGATTACTAGCTGCCCGGATGGAGCGTTTTCCTGCGCGGCGCCCGTCACCGTGGTTTCGCCGAGCCCTGCCGCGAGTTGCCTCCGGATCCCTCGACCTAGCGCGAGCCGGTCGTTCCGGATTGATTGGCTGGGGGATGCGTCTGCTGCTCTCGCTGCTGCTCTCGCCGCCAGCAATGCGACGGATAATATCACTTCTGGTGGTACCAGCACTCCTGCTACAAACACATCCGCTACAAGCACTCCCGCTGTAAGCACTCCTGCTACAAGCAAGATGGAAGCGACTCAGGGTGGACAATTGAGCGGCGAGCGCATTTACATCTGCCAGTCGTTAGTCTTTTGGTCGTCCGTCAACTGCTCGCCGTTAGAACCGTCTTTCGCCATCGTCATGCCAACGTGGGATTATTTGATCTCCACCGTCCGATCCAGCCCACACTGTTCATCAAACGGCTCATTCTCAATTGCTTCCCCAAATTCCGGGTCGGCCGGAGAACCCGCCGCGAAACCCTCCAGCAAGGTGGCCCTCGAGTCACCTGGTAGCATCAGCGCTGCCGTAAACTCAGCGCCGCAACACGCGGCGGGCTCTGCGGGATCCAAGTTACGGGGGGCGATGCGCACGATTAGGTTGCAGGGAGGGGCTATAGGAGCGCCGTTCGTCGCGCCGCAGAAGATGGGAGTAAGGTCGATTAGTTGCGAGGCAGCAGAGCCGTTCGATGGTGCTACGCTCGCGCTGCTCTTATCTTCCTCCGCAAATTGCGCTCCCGCTATCACCGGACCTGCCGCCCCTTCTAAAGGGAGCCCCGCGTCCGCGATTCCCGGCGCAAATTCCGGTAACACCACGGATATTTCTGCCACGTCATCGTCCAACGCCACGGCGACCACGTATTCGTCGTCTTACCCCGTCCCTGCGAACGGAACCGCCACGTCTGATTCCGGATCGTCGGACAGCGTCACTTTATTCGCGTTAGCAGTAGCCGCGGTATTAGCATCTGTGTGCGTGCTGGCGTTCGTCGGATCCGCGTTCTACTTCGCTCCCGAGTCCGCCATCCGAACCGCGTCCGTCGCAGCCGCCGCCGCGAGCGCCGCTGCGTCTCTCGCCGCGGAAATTGCCGCGTCAACCGCGAGTCACGAGCGCGGGCGCGGAGATTCCCGCTCGGATTCCTCCCCCTCCGCCCCCCTGCGCTCCTCCCGCACCCCTTCATCCTCGTCTTCAGCCTCCTCGTTATCGTCATTAGTTGCTTCCTCCTCGTCGTCTTCCTCTGGTTCCCGGTCCACTCGCTCCCGTTCCCCTGGCCGAAATATCGACGAGCCGGATAGCAGGGGTAGCAGGCGGCGAGGGGAAGGGGGAAGGGGACCGGGCAACGGAGGTTCGAGAGAAGCGGAACGAGGAGGAAATAGAGGGGAGGGGGGGAGAGAGAGGCGGAGACAAGGGCATAGGCAGGGGCAGGTGGGGAGGCGAGTGGGGGGACATGGCGAGGTGGGGGGAGGCGGGAAAGGGGAAAGAAGAGAGACTCGAGAGGCGGTGGGAAGCGGGGGAAGGGAGGAGGGGAGGTGTTGCGGGTGTGGGAAGAAGGAGCGGGCAGGTGGCCGGAAAGAAACAACAAGGACAAACGGTGCTGATGGTGCTCTATTGGATGTGCTTGTACCGAGTGTGACGCAAGGGAGGAATGGGGAGGGGGGAAACGAGGAGAGCCAACTTGAAGCGGTCAGGGTGGGAGAGGGAGAGGGGAGAAGTGCAGCTGGAAGAAATGACCAGGTTGGGAGTGCGAGAGGGCAGGGTGAGAGAGACGCAGAGAGAGGGATGGATAGAGGGGATGGGGCTGGGGAAGGGGGACGGAGCAGAGATCAGGATTCACTAGTGTAGCGGGTAAGGGGTTTGTAATGACTCAGAGGTCTCACTTGTCTGTTCTGCTTGGAGAATAGCCTTCTGAGCTGACCCAGAAACCATTTTTTTCCTGTGAGACAGGAGGCTTGGTGATAAGGATGAGCTGTTTGGGAAGGCTGTGGGGCAGGGTTGCCATGGTTAGTATAGGGGAGTGGAGTTTCTGGCAGGAGTGGTGTTTGCAAAAGGAAGAGGATCTGTCTTGGGCACAGGAGTGGGACTGGCACGTGTGCCTCTATCAGGAGGGATATTGTGTGCCTTTTTTCGGGCACAGGAGTGGAGTTGGCAAGTGTGTCTTTAACAGGTATAGGAGAGGGAGGGCAGATAGTGTGGCTTTCTCAGGTACACGAAGATAGCGTATAGCGTAACCATGATTTGACTGAATGAGCCTTGACATCCAATTGTTGGCTGTCTGCCCGCTTGCTTGCTTCATTGTATGCAGCTGGGGTTGTGGGGTTGGGAGTGATGCTGCTGGGGGTGAGGGCATGCTGGCTCTTGCTGTATTGTAGTATAATGCAAATTCACATGCAAAAGGTTTGAATATGCCCCTGTCAAGTCGTTTTGGCGTTTTATGATTGAAAACTTCCAATGGTTATCTATTTAAACCTGTGCTAGGTGCTCCTATCTTGGAAGGATTTTCACCTGAAGATTCCCAGCCTAAATCTGAGCAGACATTTAAAATGGATGAATAGCCGGCGGTAACTCGAGAGGAAGATAGTTACTTTAGCGAGTATAACTCTTGCATTGTTCGTAAATTTGGCGGGAATCTGTACCCAAGAATGTATCTCGCAGATCCTTGTTTCCATGAGTTATTTGCGCCACATAAGACGTTGCGCCACATAAAGCATTCAGTTGCGCACGCGCAATGCAAAGCAGCCATGGCCGTACTATTGCGTTCCCGCCAAACTCGCAGCTATCGTAATGATCCTCTTAATGCTCGTCGCGGTGAAAGTCGTTTCGGTCGCGAAGGAGCGGTTCGCAAAGAAGCTGGTCGTCTAACGTTCCCCGCGATTCGAACTCGTCACCGCGGCCCGCTACCATTCCTGCTCACTCTGTCGTCGCTCCTCGTTCTTCTGCTCGCTACCACCTCCTATGCGCTAGACACCACCACCGGCCAATCCGCCGGCGATCACGCCGGACATTGCGCGGAAAGCAATGCCGCTGGTTCACAGACTTGCGCTGCTAGTGCCGACGCGTCGCTCGAAGGATCCGAGGCGTATTCGGATTTAAAGACGTCTGAAAATGAAACCGAATCTTATCCAGACGAATCTGCGGACGACGGAGGTTCTAGAAAGCTTGGGAGTGTCGAGCATGACGTGGCAGGATCAGAGCGCGCCATGGTGGAAGACTTGCTGACGTGGATGGAACTGGATTGGACGAGAGATTCGGAAGGACCGGAGTATGGCATTGTCGTTGACGGTACTATCGAGGTTGGTGCGAAGAATCTACGCCTCTTAGTGTAGTGTAACGTCCCGTGTCGCAAAATGCTGCGCGTTTTCGTCAACGCCTCCCAGTTCGCCTCCTGCCACGTGGTGTTTCACAAGTTGACACGTGTCACCTTCCCGTGTGTCCGCGTGTCGCCAGGTGGACTTCTCCACTCGCAGCGTCCACGAAGCCGTGCCTGAAGCTCGAGGCGCTTCGGACAATCCCGAGGGTGGTGCAAGCGTGTGGAAACCGAATGACACCCGGTACGGACTCGTTAGAATCTTTCCCAGTTAAGATACTACCAGATACTACCAAATTCGACCAGATTCTACCAGATACTACCAAATCCTACCAGATTCTACCAGATGCTACCAAGATTCTACCAGAGTTTCCCTGGTGGAGACTTTTTAAGTGCTTAGGGGTGCCCGCACGTAGGGGCTCACTTACAGTTCAAACCCTTACCTTTTTCCTGAAGCAGGCCCGTAGATTTCTTATCCGCGCGTGCGCCGCTTTCTCTCCCCTTTCCGCTTTCCCCCCCCCCTCCCCCCTTCCCCCGGCATCGTCGTACCCCTAACCGCGCTGGCAGGGCGGACATTGGCTTTAAGGCAGCGCGCAGAATAGAGGCAGGCGAGGTGATTCTGATGGTTCCACGAAAGTTCTTCATCGTGGCCAATTGGATTGCACTAGTGAGTGTGATTGTATCTGGGTGTGAATGTGTGTGTGCGAATATGGCTGTGTGCGAATAAGGCTGTGTGCGAATATGGGTGTGTGCGAATATGGCTGTGTGGGGATATGGCTGTGTGGGTGTGAACTGTGGGTGTGACAGTGACTAAGCCGTGGGTGTGTGTGACTTTGTATGGCTGGGACCGTGCAGATGTGACTGTGTGTGGGCGTGACTGTATGGGAGTGTCAAAGAGAGAGGCACCAGCCAATAATCATCCTTGCCTCCTTCCCTTCTCTCCAACCGTCCCTTTTGCCCCTCTCCATCCATCTCCTCTCTTCTCCACCCCTCTCCACCCCTCTCCACCCCTCTCTCTATGCCCCCACGTGTTATGCAGAACGAATCAGAGCACCATGTCCTCCCATACGACATGACACTGTCGGTGCCGTGTGGGTGGGACACCTATACTGTGCTGGCAGCGAGGCTGCTGTGCGTGAGAGGAAGGCAGAACACCCGACCATTTATCTGCCTTCCTCTCACCTGACCATTTATCTGCCTTCCTCTCACCTGACCATTTATCTGCCTTCCTCTCACCTGACCATTTATCTGCCTTCCTCTCACCTGACCATTTATCTGCCTTCCTCTCACCTGACCATTTGCATGCCTGCTTCCTTCCTCCCCTTGCTCCCTGGGCAGAACGAGTCAGAGCGCCATCTGCTCCCATACGACATGCAGCTACCGGTGCCGTATGGGTGGGACACATACACCGTGCTGGCAGCATGGCTGCTGCGAGAGAGGGCCAAGGGGGCTGCGTCCCCCTGGGCGCGCTTCCTTCGCTCCCTGCCCGCCTACGTGCCCCTGCCTGCGCTCTTCCCCCAGACGCTGATTGATGATTTTGAATACTGGCCGATTGTGGATCAGGTGGGTGGGTGGATTGTTGGGTGGGTAAGAGTACGGCCTATTGTTGAGTGAGTAAGAGTACGGCCTATTGTTGAGTGAGTAAGAGTACGGCCTATTGTTGAGTGAGTAAGAGTACGGCCTATTGTTGAGTGGAGTGTGGTGGGCGGGAGTGTGTCAAGAGAGAGAGTGTGGTGAGAGAGGGGGAGTTGTGAGAGAGGGGGAGTGGTGAGAGGGCCCGTAGAAGAGTTGGAGTGTTGCTGGCAGCAATGCGTTAACAGCAACCTGGCTGCCATTGGCCATGCCCATTCCCTCCGCTACCTTTTATCCCCCCCGCCGCCGTAGGCCACGCACCACAAAGCAGCATAGACTGACTCGTACGACCGCTGCAGCAGCAGCAACCACAACGCTGCCTATGGCTCTCTCCTTTTTCCATCCGCTCTCCCTCTCCCCTCCCAACCCCTTACCACAGGCCACGCGCCTCAAGGCAGCATATGCCGACCTGTACGACAGATGCAACGGCAGCAACCCCACCACCATCGTTTATGCCTCTTCCCTCCCCATAACTCCATTTCTGTCAAGTCAACCCCCCTCTCTCCCCCCACCACAGGCCACACGGCTCAAGGCGGCATATGCCGACCTGTATGATCGCTGCAACCCCGCATCCATCGCCAATGCCACTCGCTCCGAGTTCTACTGGGCGCTCACTATAGTCACATCGCGCTGCTTCACCTTCTCGCCTTCCCTGCGCGCCCGTGGGGATGGGGAGGAGCAGCAGGCAGGGGGGACAGAGGGGGCGGAGGCGGGTGGGGATGGGGGGGCAGATGGTGCAGATGGGGCAGACGGGGCAGCAGAAGTAGCAGCAGAGGTAAACAAAGGAATGGCAACAGAAGAGGCAGGAGGTGATACAGAGGAGGGGAGTTCTGGCAGCAGCAGCAGCAGCAGTGGTGGTGGCAGGGATGGCGGTGGCAGCAGAGTGGAGGATTGGTATGCCACGTCAGCAGCCATGCTCCCATTCGCTGATCTGTTCAACCATGATTACTACCCCAATATGGGGTGGAAGGTGAGGGATGGGAGGTGAGGGGTGGGAGGTGAGGGGTGGGAGGTGAGGAGACTGCAGCTCCAGTCCCCCCAGCTGGGACTGCAGCTCCAGTCCCTCCAGCTGGGACTGCAGCTCCAGTCCCTCCAGCTGGGACTGCAGCTCCAGTCCCTCCAGCTGGGACTGCAGCTCCAGTCCCTCCAGCTGGGACTGCAGCTCCAGTCCCTCCAGCTGGGACTGCAGCTCCAGTCCCTCCAGCTGGGACTGCAGCTCCAGTCCCTCCAGCTGGGACTGCAGCTCCAGTCCCTCCAGCTGGGACTGCAGCTCCAGTCCCCAAGCTGGGACTGCAGCTCCAGTCCCTCCAGCTGGGACTGCAGCTCCAGTCCCTCCAGCTGGGACTGCAGCTCCAGTCCCTCCAGCTGGGACTGCAGCTCCAGTCCCCCCAGCTGGGACTGCAGCTCCAGTCCCCCCAGCTGGGACTGCAGCTCCAGTCCCTCCAGCTGGGACTGCAGCTCCAGTCCCTCCAGCTGGGACTGCAGCTCCAGTCCCTCCAGCTGGGACTGCAGCTCCAGTCCCTCCAGCTGGGACTGCAGCTCCAGTCCCTCCAGCTGGGACTGCAGCTCCAGTCCCTCCAGCTGGGACTGCAGCTCCAGTCCCTCCAGCTGGGACTGCAGCTCCAGTCCCTCCAGCTGGGACTGCAGCTCCAGTCCCTCCAGCTGGGACTGCAGCTCCAGTCCCTCCAGCTGGGACTGCAGCTCCAGTCCCCAAGCTGGGACTGCAGCTCCAGTCCCTCCAGCTGGGACTGCAGCTCCAGTCCCTCCAGCTGGGACTGCAGCTCCAGTCCCTCCAGCTGGGACTGCAGCTCCAGTCCCTCCAGCTGGGACTGCAGCTCCAGTCCCTCCAGCTGGGACTGCAGCTCCAGTCCCTCCAGCTGGGACTGCAGCTCCAGTCCCTCCAGCTGGGACCACAGCTCCAGTCCCCCAGCTGGGACTGCAGCTCCAGTCCCTCCAGCTGGGACTGCAGCTCCAGTCCCTCCAGCTGGGACTGCAGCTCCAGTCCCCAAGCTGGGACTGCAGCTCCAGTCCCCCCAGCTGGGACTGCAGCTCCAGTCCCTCCAGCTGGGACTGCAGCTCCAGTCCCCAAGCTGGGACTGCAGCTCCAGTCCCTCCAGCTGGGACTGCAGCTCCAGTCCCTCCAGCTGGGACTGCAGCTCCAGTCCCTCCAGCTGGGACTGCAGCTCCAGTCCCTCCAGCTGGGACTGCAGCTCCAGTCCCCAAGCTGGGACTGCAGCTCCAGTCCCTCCAGCTGGGACTGCAGCTCCAGTCCCTCCAGCTGGGACTGCAGCTCCAGTCCCTCCAGCTGGGACTGCAGCTCCAGTCCCTCCAGCTGGGACTGCAGCTCCAGTCCCCAAGCTGGGACTGCAGCTCCAGTCCCTCCAGCTGGGACTGCAGCTCCAGTCCCTCCAGCTGGGACTGCAGCTCCAGTCCCTCCAGCTGGGACTGCAGCTCCAGTCCCCCCAGCAGGGACTGCAGCTCCAGTCCCCCCAGCTGGGACTGCAGCTCCAGTCCCTCCAGCTGGGACTGCAGCTCCAGTCCCTCCAGCTGGGACTGCAGCTCCAGTCCCTCCAGCTGGGACTGCAGCTCCAGTCCCTCCAGCTGGGACTGCAGCTCCAGTCCCTCCAGCTGGGACTGCAGCTCCAGTCCCTCCAGCTGGGACTGCAGCTCCAGTCCCTCCAGCTGGGACTGCAGCTCCAGTCCCTCCAGCTGGGACTGCAGCTCCAGTCCCTCCAGCTGGGACTGCAGCTCCAGTCCCTCCAGCTGGGACTGCAGCTCCAGTCCCTCCAGCTGGGACTGCAGCTCCAGTCCCTCCAGCTGGGACTGCAGCTCCAGTCCCTCCAGCTGGGACTGCAGCTCCAGTCCCTCCAGCTGGGACTGCAGCTCCAGTCCCTCCAGCTGGGACTGCAGCTCCAGTCCCTCCAGCTGGGACTGCAGCTCCAGTCCCTCCAGCTGGGACTGCAGCTCCAGTCCCTCCAGCTGGGACTGCAGCTCCAGTCCCTCCAGCTGGGACTGCAGCTCCAGTCCCTCCAGCTGGGACTGCAGCTCCAGTCCCTCCAGCTGGGACTGCAGCTCCAGTCCCTCCAGCTGGGACTGCAGCTCCAGTCCCCAAGCTGGGACTGCAGCTCCAGTCCCTCCAGCTGGGACTGCAGCTCCAGTCCCTCCAGCTGGGACTGCAGCTCCAGTCCCTCCAGCTGGGACTGCAGCTCCAGTCCCTCCAGCTGGGACTGCAGCTCCAGTCCCTCCAGCTGGGACTGCAGCTCCAGTCCCTCCAGCTGGGACTGCAGCTCCAGTCCCTCCAGCTGGGACTGCAGCTCCAGTCCCTCCAGCTGGGACTGCAGCTCCAGTCCCTCCAGCTGGGACTGCAGCTCCAGTCCCTCCAGCTGGGACTGCAGCTCCAGTCCCTCCAGCTGGGACTGCAGCTCCAGTCCCTCCAGCTGGGACTGCAGCTCCAGTCCCTCCAGCTGGGACTGCAGCTCCAGTCCCCAAGCTGGGACTGCAGCTCCAGTCCCTCCAGCTGGGACTGCAGCTCCAGTCCCTCCAGCTGGGACTGCAGCTCCAGTCCCTCCAGCTGGGACTGCAGCTCCAGTCCCCCCAGCAGGGACTGCAGCTCCAGTCCCCCCAGCTGGGACTGCAGCTCCAGTCCCTCCAGCTGGGACTGCAGCTCCAGTCCCTCCAGCTGGGACTGCAGCTCCAGTCCCTCCAGCTGGGACTGCAGCTCCAGTCCCTCCAGCTGGGACTGCAGCTCCAGTCCCTCCAGCTGGGACTGCAGCTCCAGTCCCTCCAGCTGGGACTGCAGCTCCAGTCCCCAAGCTGGGACTGCAGCTCCAGTCCCTCCAGCTGGGACTGCAGCTCCTCTCCCTCCAGCTGGGACTGCAGCTCCAGTCCCTCCAGCTGGGACTGCAGCTCCAGTCCCCCCAGCTGGGACTGCAGCTCCAGTCCCCAAGCTGGGACTGCAGCTCCAGTCCCTCCAGCTGGGACTGCAGCTCCAGTCCCTCCAGCTGGGACTGCAGCTCCAGTCCCTCCAGCTGGGACTGCAGCTCCAGTCCCTCCAGCTGGGACTGCAGCTCCAGTCCCTCCAGCTGGGACTGCAGCTCCAGTCCCCAAGCTGGGACTGCAGCTCCAGTCCCTCCAGCTGGGACTGCAGCTCCAGTCCCTCCAGCTGGGACTGCAGCTCCAGTCCCTCCAGCTGGGACTGCAGCTCCAGTCCCCAAGCTGGGACTGCAGCTCCAGTCCCTCCAGCTGGGACTGCAGCTCCAGTCCCTCCAGCTGGGACTGCAGCTCCAGTCCCTCCAGCTGGGACTGCAGCTCCAGTCCCTCCAGCTGGGACTGCAGCTCCAGTCCCTCCAGCTGGGACTGCAGCTCCAGTCCCTCCAGCTGGGACTGCAGCTCCAGTCCCTCCAGCTGGGACTGCAGCTCCAGTCCCTCCAGCTGGGACTGCAGCTCCAGTCCCTCCAGCTGGGACTGCAGCTCCTCTCCCTCCAGCTGGGACTGCAGCTCCAGTCCCCAAGCTGGGACTGCAGCTCCAGTCCCTCCAGCTGGGACTGCAGCTCCAGTCCCTCCAGCTGGGACTGCAGCTCCAGTCCCTCCAGCTGGGACTGCAGCTCCAGTCCCCAAGCTGGGACTGCAGCTCCAGTCCCTCCAGCTGGGACTGCAGCTCCAGTCCCTCCAGCTGGGACTGCAGCTCCAGTCCCTCCAGCTGGGACTGCAGCTCCAGTCCCTCCAGCTGGGACTGCAGCTCCAGTCCCTCCAGCTGGGACTGCAGCTCCAGTCCCTCCAGCTGGGACTGCAGCTCCAGTCCCTCCAGCTGGGACTGCAGCTCCAGTCCCTCCAGCTGGGACTGCAGCTCCAGTCCCTCCAGCTGGGACTGCAGCTCCAGTCCCCAAGCTGGGACTGCAGCTCCAGTCCCTCCAGCTGGGACTGCAGCTCCAGTCCCTCCAGCTGGGACTGCAGCTCCAGTCCCCCCAGCAGGGACTGCAGCTCCAGTCCCCCCAGCTGGGACTGCAGCTCCAGTCCCTCCAGCTGGGACTGCAGCTCCAGTCCCTCCAGCTGGGACTGCAGCTCCAGTCCCTCCAGCTGGGACTGCAGCTCCAGTCCCTCCAGCTGGGACTGCAGCTCCAGTCCCTCCAGCTGGGACTGCAGCTCCAGTCCCTCCAGCTGGGACTGCAGCTCCAGTCCCTCCAGCTGGGACTGCAGCTCCTCTCCCTCCAGCTGGGACTGCAGCTCCAGTCCCTCCAGCTGGGACTGCAGCTCCAGTCCCCCCAGCTGGGACTGCAGCTCCAGTCCCCAAGCTGGGACTGCAGCTCCAGTCCCTCCAGCTGGGACTGCAGCTCCAGTCCCTCCAGCTGGGACTGCAGCTCCAGTCCCTCCAGCTGGGACTGCAGCTCCAGTCCCTCCAGCTGGGACTGCAGCTCCAGTCCCTCCAGCTGGGACTGCAGCTCCAGTCCCCAAGCTGGGACTGCAGCTCCAGTCCCTCCAGCTGGGACTGCAGCTCCAGTCCCTCCAGCTGGGACTGCAGCTCCAGTCCCTCCAGCTGGGACTGCAGCTCCAGTCCCTCCAGCTGGGACTGCAGCTCCAGTCCCTCCAGCTGGGACTGCAGCTCCAGTCCCTCCAGCTGGGACTGCAGCTCCAGTCCCTCCAGCTGGGACTGCAGCTCCAGTCCCTCCAGCTGGGACTGCAGCTCCAGTCCCTCCAGCTGGGACTGCAGCTCCAGTCCCTCCAGCTGGGACTGCAGCTCCAGTCCCTCCAGCTGGGACTGCAGCTCCAGTCCCTCCAGCTGGGACTGCAGCTCCAGTCCCTCCAGCTGGGACTGCAGCTCCAGTCCCCAAGCTGGGACTGCAGCTCCAGTCCCTCCAGCTGGGACTGCAGCTCCAGTCCCTCCAGCTGGGACTGCAGCTCCAGTCCCTCCAGCTGGGACTGCAGCTCCAGTCCCCCCAGCAGGGACTGCAGCTCCAGTCCCCCCAGCTGGGACTGCAGCTCCAGTCCCTC